GCGGTTAAAGTAATAGTCACCTCTGAGTTGTAAAAGAAAAGATTATTGTCAATTACTCAGAGATTTCCTTTACATAATGTTAGGGGTTGTTACCTAATGACGTAGTTAAGACCTTTGAGTACTAGGCAGGTGAACACGAGGACACAGGTGAACACGAGGACACAGGTGAACACGATGACACAGGTGAACACGAGGACACAGGTGAACAGAGATCCCCATTCAGTCTCTCTTAAACAAAGGGTCAAACAAAGCTGATATAACAAAGGTACTCAAACTATTAAGAGCGAACTCGTAACAATGGTTTTATATTAGACACATTTAGATTTAGGCTCGAAAGGTAAACATTGGTTGGATGGATATACGAGCGATAGGGGTTGGGTGTAAATTGGACTGAATAGTGTGGACCAATAGTTACTGTTTCCTCTACACTAGATCCGGGTGTAGGAGAGGACACAACACTTGATCCGGGTGTAGGAGAGGACAGAGGTAGCAGCTTACAGTACGCGTGTCTCATGGGGTTCAGTGTTGCCATCAGGGTGTTCACAGTTTTTAGCCACACACACATATACAGACAGACAGACAGACAGACAGACAGACAGACAGACAGACAGACAGACAGACAGACAGACAGACAGACAGACACACAAGATGTCCTCATAATGGCGCAGAGACTCGACAGAATTTGGATACTCTGAATTATTTCACCTGATGATTAATTAAACACCCTAAGGTTACCTGGGGAATTAGATTAGGTTAGGTTGGACTAGGTTAGGTTAGATTAGGTTAGGTTAGGCTGGATTGGGTCAAGTTAGGTTAATAAATGATGATAGGTGGAATATACAGATAAACGATTGACTGATAAGACACGTGTAAGAGGAGTCGAGGTGGTTAAGTGAGGTCGTGTTATTATTGCTGTGTCATGCTCACCTGGGGTCACTGAGGACGAGGTGTGTGTGTATGTATGTGTGTGTGTGTGTGTGTGTGTGTCTCCCTAACACCAAGTCCTCCCCATCACCCCCCACAGTAGCACCCAACCCACAGTAGCGCACCCAACCCACAGTAGCACCCCCCCCACAGTAGCACCCCCCCACCACACACCTGGTAGACCCACAACCTTCACCTGTCACATAACCTTCAGGAATATCATCAACACCTTCTGTTTTTTACCTGCAGGCGGTGATGGTGCCGAAGCCGAGAGGAGGCTTGCATCCAACTGTAGGTGGAGGAGGACAGAGGCAGCGGCAGGTGGTGTGTCCGGGCAGCTGGTTATTAAAAGTTTCCTGAAGGCGGTGAAGGAGGGGTGACGCTGGAGTGACTGTTGCCGCCGCCCCCTCTCTCTCTCTCTCTCTGGGTGTGTGGTGGCTTGTTTCCCTACACACAGACAGAAACAAGACAGACAGACAGACAGACAGACAGACAGACACACGACAAGGCATAAATACTCCCTAAGGGTTATATCACGTTAAGTACTGTACCATCATCCCAGCCCCCCAGAGGAACCTTACCCCACCAGGAGACGCTCACGGAGGAACACAGGTGAGACAGGTGTTGTGTTTACCTGTCCTCCTTTTACTTCGTCTTCTGCTTCTACAACAATTCTTTCTCATTTTCTTTCTTCCTATTCCTACATTCTTATCCTGTTCTATTCCCTCCTCCTAACCTCTTGTACTTCTTCTTCTCTCCTTCTGACCTCCCCCTCCTCCTCTTCACCTCTTCTATCTCTACGTCTTCCTCTCCTCCTCCTCCTCCTCCTCCTCCCTGGTCCACGCCTCAACCATGGCGTACCAATCACCAAGACTTTTTACCTCCAACCCCTCCACCACCCCCCTCGCCCCCCACCTCGCCCCCACTATCTTCCTGCCACCACCACCCTCTCCTCCCTCTCCCCCCACCCCCCCCTCCTCCACCTTCCCCCCACTATCTTCCCACCACCACCACCCTCTCCTCCTCTCCCCCCCCACGCCCCCTCTCTCCCTCTCCCACCCACCCGCCCCTCCCCCCCCCTCCCCTCCTCCCCTCCCCCCCCTCATGGTCCTCAGCGTGGCAGATGGACTGACTAACGGCGCTGGCGTACCTCTCACCCCTTCCCTCCCTCCCTCACCTCTCACTCTCCCTCACCCTCCCTCCCTCACCCCTCACTCTCCCTCACCACACCTGATGCCTAATTAACCAAACCCCTCACCTTACCTGTATATATGTAGTTAATAAAGGTTAATGTGATATATTAAAGGACAGACAGACAGACACAGACAGACACAGACAGACAGACACAGACAGACAGACAGACAGACAGACAGACAGAGACAGACACAGACAGACAGACAGACACAGACAGACAGACTAGAGCGTGTTCAAGGTCTCAAGTGTCGACCAATGATGAGCTGGGCAGAGCCAATCAGATGTCACGATGCGGGATGGGGGGGAGGGGGAGAGGAGGGGGGAGAGGGTTGGGGGCAGGAGAGGGGATGGAAGGGGAAACTATATCTGTGACGTCATTAATACATACATACATACATACATACATACATATCTCTACCTGACATAAAGATATAGATTATTCAGGACAGATAGATAGGTGTAAGGGGGAGGTGTAAGGGGAGTGTAAGGGAGGGGGAAGGGGAGGCGTAAGGGGAGGGAGAAATGAGAGACGAGGTAGGGGTAATGGGAGGGGGGGTGAAAGTGCCACAGAGGGACATGAGCCCTACTGATGCCTAGCCAGCTTGAGGGCATTACTTGACCTCATAGTGCCAACCTAAACTAACCTAGAGTTAAATTTAACAACTAACTTACAACGAGAGAGAGAGAGAGAGAGAGAGAGAGAGAGAGAGAGCTGAAACACGAGTACAAAACTGTAACATTAAGTAATTTTATTATTTATTTTTTACGCCCTACGTCACCTGAGCTAATTAATGGTTGTTGGGGGGATGACGGCAGGTAATTACAGGTGAGTAGTAAGGCCCTGGGGTTAATCTCGGCTGTGATTGGCTCTAGTGGTCAGGTGTGAGACAGGTAATGTATGAGGTGAGGAGGGGTGAGGAGGAGGGGGAGGTGAGGAGGGGAGGAGGAGGGGAGGAGGAGGGAGGTGGGGGAGATGGGGGGGGGAGGTGAGGGAGGAGGAGGTGGGGGGTGAGGAGGAGGAAGGAGAGGAGGAATGGGGGGAGGAATGGGGGGGAGGAGAGGGGGGGGGAGGAGAGGAGGAGGGAGGGAGGAGGGGGGAGGTGAGGAGGAGGGAGGGAGGAGGGGAGGTGGGGTGGGGAGGAGGTGGGGGGTGAGGAGGGGTGAGGAGGTGGGAGGAGGTGGGGGGGGGGGTGAGGGAGGTGGGGGGTGAGGAGGTGGGGTGTGAGGGTGGGGGGAGGTGGGGTGAGGAGGTGGGGGTGAGGGGTGGGGGGAGGAGGTGGGGTGGGGAGGTGGGGGGGGGGTGAGGAGGTGGGGGGGGTGGGGGTGGGAGGTGGGGGGGAGGATGTGGGGTGAGGGAGGTGGAGGTGAGGAGGTGGGGGGGTGAGGAGGTGGGGAGTGAGGAGGAGGTAAGAAGAAGAGGAGGAAAGAGGAGAAGAAGGAGAAGGGGAAGCAGAAGAAGAGAAAGGGAGAAGACGCTTACCGCCGCCCCTCCCGCACTATATGTAGCCCTCCACGCGTGCAACATCTGTGGACGATCCTGTCGGTCCCGTATCAGCCTCTCGAGTCACCTCAGAGTGGGAGGAGAGGAGTGGGAGGAGAAGAGTGGGAGGAGAAGAGTGGGAGGAGAAGAGTGGGAGGAGAAGAGTGCGAGGAGAAGAGTGTGTGTGTTTTATAAGGTTTAAACTAAGTGGAAGAAAGAGGAAGAAAGGAAGAAAGAGGAAAGAGAAAGGAAGAGAGGAAATAGGAAGGAAGGAAAAGGGAAGAATGAGAGAGGTCGCAATACATGAACAACAAGACCAGGGTGTAGATGTTGCCCAAACTTTCTACATACATTAATGGGCGTGGAGGTCCTTACTGGGGAGAGGCGTGGCTAGGGGGAGAGGCGAGGCGTGGTTGGGAGGCGTGGCTGAGAGGAGGAGGCGTGTCTGAGAGAGAAGGGCGTGTCTGGGAGGGAGAGGGGCGTGTCTGGGAGGGAGAGGTGGGCGTGGCAGTAGGTGGGGGACATGGTCTAGGATGGTAGAGCACATTCCTGGCGCACCTGAGGCAGAGGGCCAGGGAACAACACTTGACGTCTCATATCATCAGCTGAGAGAGAGAGAGAGAGAGAGAGAGAGAAATGACCTGGGGGTGAGGGGCTGAATGAGGGAGGGAGGGGCAGGAGTGTGTGGGGGAGGTGCCAAAAGGTTGTAGTGTAGAAGTTTCAGCCAGTGAGAGTCGGCCCTTTCAGTCTGCCTAGTCCCTCCCTCCCTCACTCCCCTCCCTCACTAGGCACTCTACTCTCCGCCCATTCCACACACCCCGGTCAGACAATACCACCCACCGCCCAATCGCGTCTTCAAGGTTAAAAATGACCAACTTTTTTTTAACCTTCAGGAAAATATAACAAAATATTCCTGTTGTTTTGGGTTAAGGAAGAGATTGAGTTTTCTGAAGGTAATTAGATGAGTTTAATTACCATACAGGTGAGTAAGTGACACCGTCTACCTGTGAGGATTAAGACACTCCCATCCTACACTCATCCTACTCATCTATCCTACCCATCCTTCCCCTCCCTACCTACGTAATCATCCCTCTTCTCTTTCTCCATCCATCCCTTTCTCTCCCTCCTCCCCTTCTTGTCCCAGCCTACCTCCCCTCCACCTTTCTCAACTCACCCCAACACCGTCCTCTCTCCCCTCTACCCTCCATAACCCCCCTCTCCCCTCCCCTCCACCCTCCCCTAACCCCTCACTCACCTCCACCTCCCTAAACCCCTCACTCCACCTCCACCCCTCCCTGACCCCCACCACCCCTCCTGACCCCCCACCACCCCTCCCTCCCCCACCACCATCGCCCCCTACCCAACATGACCTCCCAGCCTGGGTCCCGACAGCCTCATTGGGCATCAGGTCTCGGCTCTGTGTGTGTGTGACTAACAAGGAGTCTCCCGGCGACCCCACGACTCATCACTCCTTCACCGCCTTCGTCAACGTCTGCAATGAGGATATTAGGCCTCTGTTTCATAGTGAGTCTTTCTGTCTGTCTGTGTCTGTCTGTCTGTCTGTCTGTCTGTGTCTGTCTGTGTCTGTCTGTCTGTCTGTCTGTGTGTCTCCCTTCTGCGGTATTAACTTCATATGGGGATGTGTCCACTGTGTTACTTAAATGTGTCCGTTCCAGTGTATGTGTCACTAAGCTGTATCCATCCTAGTGTACTTGTGAACACTGATGATGAACAACAACAACAAGATTTCAACGCTGAACAAGAAAGTGATCAGTGAACAATTTTTTTTTCTTCAAATTTTTAGTTGGGATCTTCTCATCTTCTTGCCTCCTTCTTCTCCTTCCTCCTCTTCCTCTTGTTCTTCTTGCCCTCTTCTTCTCCTTCGTCCTCCTCTTCTTCCTTTTCTTCTTCCTCCTCTTGTTGCCCTCTTCTTCTTCCTCCTCCTTTTCTTCTTCCTCTTGTTCTTCTTGCCCTCTTCTTCTCCTTCGTCCTCCTCTTCTTCTTTTTCTTCTTCCTCCTCATTTCCTGTTCTGTACAAGCCGAGATGACATACAAACACGACAGGAGTGGGACAAGTGTTACTGAGGAAGGCATGACAAGTGAGGGGCATGACAAGTGAGGCAGCAAGTGAGGGCAGGACAGACAGTGAGGGCGTGAGGGGCATGACAAGTGAGGGGCATGACAAGTGAGGGGCGTGAGGGCATGACAAGTGAGGGGCGTGAAGGCATGACAAGTGAGGGGCATGACAAGTGAGGGGCGTGAGGGGCATGACAAGGAGGGCGTGAGGGCATGACAAGTGAGGGCGTGAGGGGCATGACAAGTGTGGGGGCATGTGAGATTTGTGGCAGAGAGATGCAGGATGTTTTATTATTGAGAGTGTTGAGAGAGAGAGAGAGAGAGAGAGAGAGAGAGAGAGAGAGAGAGAGAGAAATGCTATGTAAACAAAGATGATGATGATGGCAGACGAGAGGAGGAGGAGGAGGCGAGTTGTAAACACGTCTGGGATGGTGAGGAGGACGACGTGTTGGGAGGAGGAGGAGGAGGGAAGAGGGGAAAGGAGGGGAAGAGGGGAAGGAGGGGGAAAGGGAATAATTGGGAAGGGTGAGGAATGGGCGGAGAAGGAGGAAGGAATTGAGAGACGGGGGAGATGACGGGGGGAATGGGTGGGGTGGGGAGGAAGGGGAGTGTAATATGACTGAGGGGTGGGGTGGGGGATGGCTCGTGCAGTCTGCTGATGTCCCACGTTGAAAGTGAGAGTCTTGCAGGGAACAGTCTCTCTCTCTCTCTCTCTCTCTCTCTCTCTCTCTCTCTCTCTCTCTGTGTGTGTGTAATGAGTAAGGTCTTGGTGATAGCATTCTGCCATAGTACAGAGATTAGGTCAGGTCAGGTCAGGTCAGGTCAGGCTTCTCACACCACCTGACCATCACTAAACAAACTAAGTCAACCACAAACACTCCTATAAAAATAAACAAACACACTTCACTGAGGCCAAACTACACATTTATTATCACCAAATAAAAGTAATTCTCGCCAGTGGAACAAACTAAAGCAGACAAGAAACTTAAACGGAGCCTCTTGCCCGTCAGCCAACACATAATGAACGCCTTGAGTGTGTGAGTATACGTGTTAACGGTGTGCGTGGTCTTGTGAGTGTGTTTTAAAGTGTGTGTGCATGTTTTAGTGTAGGTGTGTGCATGTAATAACGATGTACATAGCGTGTGTGTGTGTAGAGTTCCTGGTTTAGAAGATGAGACTGTGTACGTTAATTTATTGCTTTTTGTACGATGTGTCCCTGAGCGTGCGAGACCAACAACTTGCGTATGCTGCGGCAATTCTGGGGGTGAGGGGGCCCTGGAGGAGGTAGTGAGGAGGGGGTGAGGGGAGGGGGGGGAAATGAGGGGAGGGTGAGGGAGGAAGGTTGATAATAAAAGAGAATTGTTAAGAATGGCAAAAACTTAACACATACGCCCGCCAGCGCTATTCAGCCCTATCCTTAGAAGATGCGCTGCGACACGAGGGAAGACGCTGCCAGACAACCAGACCCTACCCAAGTTATCGTACTGCATAGAGACTGTTACCGGGTTAGCATTTCCAAACAAAAGTAAAACTATATATTTTTCTATCATTAATCTATCTTATAAAAAATCCCCAAAGACACGATAATATAGAATTCCTCGTCAAATTGTTCCTATGTCATAAAGATATATTAATCTCTTAACAGTTCAATACCTCACACTGAGTATATCTTCCGGGTTTAGTAAGGGATCGAGTCAGTAACACATCTGACAGCAGGGGTGGTTAATAATACGCGCGTCCATATATGTATATACGACCGTATGAACATGTGACTGTGTTGAATACTAGAGACTTGTACCAGATGTGTGTGTGTGTGTGAGAGAGAGAAGGAGTGAGTGTGTATATGTATGTATGTGTCCGCTACAGGGGGTCACCAGGTAATCACAGGTAGCAAGAGGGCGTGCAGCCGCGGGAAGTTGGCGTGGGAATATACCTGGATGGCGTGGGAACTCACCTGGGTGTACCGATGCTTCCCTACCACACAAAGATGGAAGTAAACACTGAAGGTGGAGGTAATTAGTGAGTGGAGGTAATTGGTGGGTGGAGGTAATTAGTAGGTGGAGGTAATTGGTGGGTGGAGGTAATTAGTAGGTGGAGGTAATTAGTAGGTGGAGGTAATTGGTGGGTGGAGGTAATTGGTGGGTGGAGGTAATTAGTAGGTGGAGGTAATTAGTAGGTGGAGGTAATTAGTGGGTGGAGGTAATTAGTGGGTGGAGGTAATTAGTGGGTATTCAATATATATGCAATAACAAAACAAGTTATACAATATAATACAACAACAATAATACAACACGTTATACAGTACACAAGGTCTGGCCGCGACAGTACACAAGGTCTGGCCGCGACAGTATATAACTCTAGGGTCGCCACCATCCACATTTCACTAACTCAGTGTTGATGTTAACGACACCTGACACCTGGCGGCCAACACCTGACACCTGGCGGCCAGCACCTGCCATCTAACACCTGGCGGCCAACACCTAACACCTGGCTGCCAACACCTGACACCTGGCAGCCAACACCTGACGGCCAGCACCTGCCATCTAACACCTGGCGACCAGCACCTAACATCTGGGGGCCAACACCTGACACCTGTCGGCCAACACCTGACACCTGGCGGCCAACACCTGTCACCTGGCGGCCAACACCTAAACTATCTGTTGTTAACGACCTCTAGTTAATGCCCCTCACGGTTTATAACTCACCTGTACGGTCGCTTAATTAAAGTTCGTCAGGTAGACACAGGTGAGAGAGACTCAGTATATACCTGTACCTCACTACCCATCCCACACACACTAGACATGATCAGTCAAGTCAGGAAAGGACGAGTGTTGGCGTGAACTAGCACACACACACACACACACCGTTGAGAACAGATTATACTGTACATACATACATCTAGCGTGGTTATACATACAGAAGGCAGCTCGTAGTGTCTTGATACACACACACACACTAAATGTTGACATACGTGACTGTCTTCTGATGCTGTGTGCGCGTGTCTCTGTGTACTGTGAAATCATGTGTGCACTTGCTGTTGTTAATTATGACGCCCAGGTACACGTCACCCCAAAACACAGGTGATAATAAAGAGAACTGGAGACTCCTAACCTAACCTAACCAAACCCTAACCTCACCTCCACCAATTCCTACATATTTACAAACTCACTAACTTAACAAACGCCTTTTTCAACATAATAAGATACGTTAATTCTAGAGTCAATGTTGTTCCCAGTAGAGAGAGAAGACTTTATAAATATTTGTTATTTATTTTGTCATATCAGTTACTTCCTATTGGTACTGTCACCTGTTGGGTGGGGGGTGGGGTGGGGAACTTTCTCGTGTTGGGGGCAAGAAAGTGCTAAGTGCATTTTTTCTTTTTACCCTTCCAACAATCATGTTTATTCTTCCTCCCATGTATCTTGATATTGTTAAAAGTGTTCCCTATATTGACAACGGAGGAAGGAAAGTTTGGACCGAGGTGCTTGTGGTGTGTAGCTTATGAGACGATGGTAAATATGTGTGTGTGTGTGTGTGTGTGTGTGTGTGTGTGTGTGTGTGTGTGTGTGTGTGTGTGTGTGTGTGTGTGTGTGTGCGTGTGTGTGTGCGTGCGTGTGTGTTGGGTTTGTTTACTTCTAACCTATGTGTGGGGGGGTTAATTGATGAGGGTAGGTGGTGGTCTGGGGTAGGTGGTGGGGGAGAAGGTAGGGGGGGTGATGGGTGGTGTTTATTAAAGGGTTAGACCACATAAAACGTCTGTATATAATGAGAGGTAATTAGTCCACCGATTACCTGTCAGAGGATATATAATACAAGGTGTTCAAGGGAGAGAGGAAGAGGGAGGAGGGAGGGGAGGGGAGGGGAGGAGGAGGGGAGGGAGGGAGGGAGGGGAGAGATGAGGCCCCAGCGAACTGCCAGTCATCCCGACCTAAACTTTCATACAGCACTGAGGCCAGGTTGATACAGTACGACAGGAGGAAGGGAGAGGGAGAAGGAGGAGAAGGAGGGGAGGGGGGGGAGAAGGAGGGAGGGGAAGGAGGGGAGGGGGAGAAGGAGGAAGGTACAAGTGTTTGGTTTTATAGCCTATAGTGGTGTGTGTGTGTGTGTGTGTGTGTGTGTGTGTTCATCCTCGTCAGCCCCACCAACACCTCTGTACCACACCAATTTAGCAGAGACGAGGTGAGAGGGGGAGTAGGGTAGGGGAGTGGGTGGGGGGTGGTGAGTGGGTGGTGGGGTGGTGTGGGGGGAGTGGGGTGAGTGGGGTAGGTGGGAGGGTGAGTAGGGGGGTAGGGGTGAGTAGGGGTAGGGTGAGTAGGGGTGAGTAGGGGTGGTGGGCAGGGTGAGTAGGGCAGGGTGAGCAGGGTGAGGTGGGAGAGGGGTGAGTGGGGTGGTGGGCAGGGTGAGTAGGGGTAGGGTGAGTAGGGTGAGTAGGGGTGAGTAGGGGTAGG